TTATTTTTATGCTAGTTTTATCTTTCTTGTTATTGATTTTTTGTGTGTGTGTTTGCATCAGTTTAGCCATAATTCTCTTGGGATTGCCAGGCATACTCTCATATCATCTGCAAATAGGAAGAGATGCTACTACTTCTTTTCCAATTCTGGTCTTCAAATCATTTTCTCTTGTCCAATTTCATTGACTGATATGTATAGTAAAATGCTAAAAAGCGGGGATATCATGGACATCCTTACCTTGTTTTTGATTTTAGCAAGAATGCTTTTAATATCACGATAAATTTTTATCATTGGTTATTTGAGTTTACTTTATCACTACTGTATTATCTTTTTTATTCCTTTTATTTTATCTTTCTTTAACTCTCTTTATGCCATTTTGTAAAAGTCTCCCGGTCTATTTTCAGTACATCTGCTTATGAATTTTTAGTGATTGTGTATGTGTAGCTCTACTTTTCCTTAAATGTAAAGTCACTAGAAATACAGCAACTGCCCAGGTTGGTGTGGCTCAATGGATTGAGCACTGGCATGAGAACCAGAGTGTCACTGGTTCGATTCCCAGTCACGGCACATGACTAGGTTGCAGGCCAGGTCCCCAGTAGGGGGCGTGTGAGAGGCAACTACACATTGATGTTTCTTTCTGTCTCTTTTTCCTTCCCTTCCCTCTGTCTAAAAATAAATAAATAAAATCTTTTAAAAAAACTTTCTAAAAAAAAAATACAGCAACTCTTCTGACTTGTTGCTTTTATCATGCCAGTGCTAAAAAGTTTTACTAAATTGTGGTTTCTTAGAACAGAAACAAAAATAAACTTGAGAGGCATCTGGGTGGTGTTTTCTTGGCAGAAGCATTAACTGCTTCCCAGGTTTCTTTTGTAAGCAGAAAACATTACAACATAGTAGGTATGAAAAAGCAAAGAGAAAAAGAATGATGAATTTGACGCAGTATTCCTAAAAGAACTAGAGGTTGTATTGTGAAGTAAATAAGCAATATTTATTTAAGCTTTGACATTTTTCCATATCTCATTTTTTTGAAAAGTAGAAATATTTAAGGAGATGGTGTATTCTTTAAAAAGTGAAGAATATATTTTATGTCGTTTTTTAAAACGAGTTAAATTGTTATTGTTACAGTAAAACAAGAAAATGTTGATAGAAGCCACAATAGTTGCTCACCATTCAGCAAAAGAGGACCCATGGTGAGAGAGGTTTTGGTAAAATTTTGAGTTATAAAAAAGAGGAAGGAGGGAGGATCATCAGTCTTTTAGAAAGAAGAAAAGTTTATTGTCAAAAGACCAAGAATCTGCATGACTTTTATAAAATGGTATGTTAGAAGGCCATGAAGCAGAATTTTGAAAACAATAACACAAGGGCTTAGAAAACATACTGCCATTTACCTTTCTTAAAAGTTGATTCTACTATGTATTGTTAACATGAATAAATCTCAACACAGATAAATCTCTGGTTGTGTACTTTTTCCATCCCATTTCCCTTCTGTCCATCCCAGAGGTAAATATCATCCTTAATTTGTTGTTTATCCTATTCATACCAATGCTAGTCTCTCTACCTAAATATGTATAAAAATATAAATGTAAACATAAATACAAAGATATTTCAACTTGGTAAAAATGTTACTATATAATATGTACTTCCTTACAATTTGTTTTTTCCCTTCTAGCACCTGAATTTAAATGCTGTGTGGTACTGCATTTTATAACTATACCACAATATATTTATTCATTCTCCTGTTCATGCACTTTAAGAGACATTTTCAGTTTTTCTCAGATTCATGCTGCAATGACTCCTTCATACTTTATCTCCTTTTGCATGTGCACAAATGGATTATATTGTTTCATTTCATTTTTAATTTTTTTCTTTCAGTCATTATTTTCTTCCTTATCTCCTGGTGTTCTTCATTTGCATTCTTTGTTAAATGCATTATAACTATCTTCTGTTGGTATGTTTTATGTGTTCATTTTATTTCTGATACCTTTTGTTAAACATATTTTTAAAAACAGCTTTATTAAGATATAATCCACACAACACACAATTCACAATTTAAATGGTACAATGTTTTTAGTATATTTATACAGTTGTATAGCTGTCACCATGAGTTTAGGACATTTCATCACTCCAAAAAGAAATGGTACACCCTAGTACTCACTCCTATTTCCCCCATCCCTAGGTAACCAATAATCTACTTTCTGTATCTATGAGTTTACCTATTCTGGACTTTTCATATAAATAAAATCATAAAATATGTGGTCTTTTGTGTCTGGCTTCTTTTACTTAGTATAATGTTTTCAAGGTTCATCTATGTTTCAGCAGTTGTAATACTTAATGCCTTTTATGGCTAAATAACATTCCATTCTATGGAAATACCACATTTTGTTTATATATTCATCAGTTGATAGATAGTTGGGTTGTTTTTACTTTTTGGCTATTATGAAGCATGCTGCTATGAATACACAGGTCTTTGTGTGGAATGTGTTTTATATCGCTCATTATATAAATTTTTATATTTCAATGTACCCAAATTTATTATTCTTTTACTTTTATAGATTTTGCTATAATTCTTCTGAAACAAAGATCATAAAGGTATTATCCTGTATTTTCTTCTTGGCAGTTCATAGCCTTTAAGCCATTTGGAAGAGATCTTGTGTTTTGTGGGAGAAGGGAGGAGATTTATATTATATGATACAGTATTGAAATTTAAACCTATTTTTATGGATTTGGATACCAGGTAGGGTGAAAAAACCTTCCTAGTTTGCCTGAGATTCACAGATTTTCAGGGACAGCAGTTTTCATTGCTAAAACTAAGACCGTGCCAGACAACTGGGATGAGGGAGTCACCCTAATACCAAATACCCTATTGTTTATAAAATAGCTCATTCTCTCTTTTGCTAAAGCCACTTTTATCACATGCTGACAAAGTATTCTACATTTCCTTTATTGTTTTCCACTGATGTGGAAACTATCACTTTTATGACTAAACATGAGTGCCACTTAATTTTGAAAGAAAATGTTCTTGTAATTTTTTCCTAGGAAAGTCTTAAGTTATTGATTTGTCTATCATTAACATGATATTATTTGTTTATAGCTTTGGATTTACACTTTTTAACACAAAAGTAAACGTTTTATATGTAGCTATATTTGATTCCTCGTGTGTCCATCATTGTTACTTGTTTCCCATGACTAATCTGTGGGTTCACTTTTTTTCCCTCTGAATACATCGTGCCTTAGTTCTTTTAGGGAGAATCTAAAGGTAGTTAACTCTGTTGGCCTTTGCATGTCTGAAAATGTCTAATTTTACCCATACTCTTGACTTACAGTTTAAATATGTTTTCAGTTACTTTTCTCCAGGACTTTGAAGACATTGCTCTATTTTCATTTATATATATATATATAATATATATATATATGACATGTGCTACATAATTTCTGACTATGATGATGATACCTAGGTATAGATATATATTTCATTCACCCTAGTTGGTGCAAGTAGAAGTAGTCTATTCTGGTACATGCTACCCTTACACCATCAGCCCTCTACCACCTGCTACCCTGACACCATCAGCCCCATACATCGTTCAGACCAGTATCTCAGCCTCTTATGCTCCCCTCAGGCAGCTGAGAAGGGAGAAAGGACAGGGTGAATGCTCTCTGGGAGTCTCACCTGCACTGTAATATTTTTGTACATCTCTCAGATAATTATCTCTAATTATCTCACTGAGATTGATTAGCAGAGTAAAAGAGTGGAAAGAGGGCTAAACATAGTCTTTTCACCACTGATGGGTATTTTCCCTGGCTCAGGTGCATCCTGGACACCCTTGTGTGTTGGGTGAGCCAACGTGTGCCTTTCTTCCAGTCTCATGCCAGTCCTCTAAATTCCTACTTGGGGCTGAAGTCTTGCTTTGAATGTTAGACTCCTTCGCTCTTGTCAGCTTTGCCTCCCTCATATTCCCACTTGCTGTCTGGACTCTGTCCCGAGTGGACACACCACCCAGCATCATGATTCCATTGGTCCTTGCAGTGTCATTTGCTACATCTCGTCCACCTGATCGGAAGTTCGTGGGAATTAATACTAGCTCAAGTCAAGTGGAGCAGACCTCATTTTCCTGGATATTTCGTTTTCAACCTCCACTGCATCACCCAATTCTGTCACTCTTTTTGACCAGTCCCCATATTAGTTCGACTTGTTCTTCACGGGTTAGTGAGATCTTGGTTCAACTTGTAGTCAAGCCTACATACATTTACAATAATTGAATTGCCTAAAGTTCTGTACACATTTGGCTGGCACTAAGCAGTTTTCATATCAAATGAAAAGCAGTTTCAGAAATACAATCTAATGTTCCTATGATTTCTAGGTATAAATCATACATTTCTCTAGACTTTTAACTGTATGACTCAAACAGTCAAGGATATTTTACATTCACATAGCATATCTCTCTCTTTAAGCAGTAATTGTGTTTCTTCTTCTATCAGTAAGTTAGCCTATATTTTTAGACTTTCCTGTTAAGAGAAAAAATTTTCTTTATTAAAAATAAAATAAATAATAAGGCAGAAGCAGCAGAGAATAACATCCAGGCTCTTTGTACTTCATAGCCCTAACTTTTAAGGCCCATTTGAATTCTAGTTCCTCCACAAAGCCTTTATTGCCAACTAGAGTTCCTTGAGTTCACTACTTTCTGATCATCTAGGCATCATTTCTGTCCAAATATTAATATTCAGTCATAAACTGCCCAAATATTAATATTTAACCATAAACATATGTAGTTTTTTTAATGTATGTCAGCCTGATTTTAGGAATTTGAATATAGTTCCCTTAAGAGTTAGAATGTAGCCTCTTTGTTTTTTTGTTGTTGTTGTTACCCTTCACAGAACCCAAATCAGTGTCAAACACATGGCAGTTGTTTAAAAAACACTATTGAACTAACCATAAGCTGTCACAATTGAGAAGTATCATTTCTCAACCAAGAGCACATTAATTACAAAGCCCTGAACCTCACCAAGAACAGCTACAGCAGCAGCACCAGCAGAAGCAGCAAGCATTGGATCCTCGGTTCCCCATTTCATGTTGGTCTGGGAGGGAATCTGATGTCTCCAGGGCTGCACACATCTGCCGCTTCCGCATCTCCATCCGTTCTGACCCCATCAGCTGCAACAATGAAAGGAAAACGGGGTGGGGAGCGAGGATAGAGTGACCATCACATAAGCTTAGCGATCAGTTATTTGGATCATTGAAAAGATGTAATGTGACCATATCCAGGTCATTTCCACTAATTCTGGTAAAATTGGTGCTCACAATTAATTTATCAAACACTCATTTAATGTCCAGTATCTGCCGAGCACTGTGATAAATTTTAGGAATATAATGACAAAGGGAGGATCCTCGCCCCAAAGCACTCACAGTTGGGTAAAGGAGGCAAATATTGATATCACATACATTGAAGACATGCAGGAAAAACTACCACAGGGTCATTTCCCAGCTCCAGGATTCCGTTTGCATTGAACCAATGGGGAGCAGTTGAGTTATGGCTGCCCACGAGGCCAAAGCATGGATATGGAAGGAAGCCACATCAAAAATGTCAAGCGCACAAACACTGCAGTATGAGGAAACACTAGAAGAGGAAGGGTGGCAAGGGTGTGCATGCTTAGTTATAAAATAAGTCAGAGGAATGTAAAGTACAGTACATGGAATATAGTCAACAATGTTGTAATAACTTTGTATGGTGATGGCAGATGGTTACTAAATGTGATCACTTTGTATGCTATATAAAGGTCAAACTATGTTATATTCCTGAAACTAATATAATATTGTATGTCAACTATACTTTAATTAAAAAAAAAAAAGAATGGGGAGAACAAAAGTCCTGGGATGCTGTCTGGATCTCAGGCCTCACTGACATTCAAATCTTTACCAGTGGGGAAACCTTGAAGAAGTTACTCAACTCGGGTATGTGCAAAGCATTTAGAATCTGCCTGGTACATAGCATTGCTCAATTATTCTCAGAAAGAGAGGCAGGACTGTGGCCTGTGGCCTAATCAGGCCTGTCAGGCAGGGCTCATTAGGGCTAATCAGGCAGATGCAGGGACAGTCATGCTGGCCTCCCTCAGTGGAGTTCAAGCCATTGGAAACAAGACCTATGCCATTCATTCCCTCTCTTTGTTCTGACGACTACAAGATGATTGAAAGAGAAAAGAATAAAAGTAGTACATGAAACAAAAAATTGCTGAGTCCATTTTTACTTTTGATATTATCATTGAATTGTTCATAGAATAAAAGCTAAAATATATTGAAGTTACATTCAATAATCTCAAATAGGACTGTGGAATTAAAATTTGGATTTGTTTTCTTAGCCCAACATTAGATTTATCTCTTCCTACTATTACCTATTGTTATATGCTATTGGACTTTGTTTTAATTATTATCATTTTATTCTATAATTTCATATGGGTAGGTAGAGTTCTCTTCAAGAATTAAAAAAAAATTTGGTTTTGGCTGTCCTTGTCTAATTTTTCTTCCAGTTGAATTTTAGAATCAGCTTGTCAAGGTCCAAAAATACCATGTTGGGCTTTTGATTAGAACACATTGAATTTATAACTTTATTTATGAGACATGTCATTGGTTTTAGTACCTGCCAAATCAAGGGTGACTCCTCTGAATTAGTCCTTTCATTATACTGAGATGTAAGTCCCAGGAGAGCAAGACAAACTTGTCAGAGTGTTTTACTGTCCCTTCATCTGCAACCAAAATACTGCTCATAAAACCTGTCCAAAAAGCGCTGCCTGCAAAAGCCTAGGACTCAAGCTGGTGCAGCTCACTTGACCAAAGGTGGAAGCAGAGACATTTGCCCAACTCACAGTCACGTTTTATAGGCAGCGCTGAAAGGAAGACCCCTTTTTATCCCACAGGGGAGAAGCTTTTGGCTCTGCTGAGCATCGCATTCTCATAATATCTGCAGCATTACAGTGGGGACACAGACTGACATGGTTTCACTTTATTCGGGACACTGAGGGGAAGGCACAATCTCCAAAGACGCTTTGGGAAAAATATCTGCAGGTAATAATTATTTTGTAGGAGATATTGATGCAACTTGCTTCATTAAAAAAAAAATTCCCAACTGCTTCTCAAAAGAAAAATAGATTGTGACATGGTAACATCAGGTTTCAAGGGACTACTATTTCAACATCTTTTCAACATTGGGTATTCCCAAGTAGTATATGGAATATCTTTTCATTTAAATCCTGTCTTATGTATTGTTAAAGAGTTTTACTCAAACAGATCTTGCATAATTTTGATATTTATTCCTAAATATTTTACAGATCAGTTTTTGCTGCTATTGTAAATATCCACTCCCATATTTCTAAATAGTTATTTCAGAGTATAGGAAGGATAAGAATATTATACCTGGCCTCTCTATTGAATTCTCTTTCTAGTTCTAGTGGCCTTTTATTGATTCTCTTGGGTTTTCTAGATCATATTGTCTATAAATAATCATACTTGTCTGTTTACTTTTTGGACTTCTCCAAGTTTTCCAAGGTATAAATGTCCTTCCTCTATATTGGATGTGTGTGTAGGGGGCAGGGGAAGACACACAGAGAGAGAGAGAGAGAGAGAGAGAGAGAGAATAACAATACTATTAGGCACCTTTGTGTTCTTCATGACTTTAATGCTAAAACTGTAAAATTTACCCATATGTGTGATGTGTGTTGGAAGCTTTTGGAAGATAGCTTTACCAAGTTAAGCAACCTTTCTTCTTTTATTTCATAGTATAAAATAAATTATGCCAGCCTGTCTTATTAGTTAACATATTTTACTTGCTTGTAGCCTTATTTCTTTGTAAATACCTAGAAGAATCCTAATGACAATAAGCAACCTCTTAGAGAACCTCATAAAGTTGCTCATGACTAAACATTGCCTCAGAAAAATCAAAGCCAAGTTCCATCAAAGTCTGCTTTTACACATTTTTGAAAACAGCTTTATTGAGGTCCAACAGATGAACAATAACCTGCATGTGTTTAAAGGGTATAATTTCATAAATTTTAAAATGCATATACCTGTGAAACCACCACCACAATCAAGACCACATTATCAGTCTCAAAAGGTTCCTCATGACCCTTGGAAATCTCTCTTTCCTGCTCCTCCCTCCTGGCTCCTGCCTACCCCAGACAATCACTGACCTGCTTTCTCCCACTATATATTAACTTGCAGTTTTTAGGATCTTGTACAAAGATTTCGTGGAATCATAAAATATATCACATTTTGCCATGTTTAATGCACACTTTTTGCCCAAATTTTTGAAGGGAAAAAATAAGGATGCACATTATACATGGGTGTAATGATTACATACCATGGATATAATAATGGGTATAATAATCTTGTGCATAATGTGCACAAACATAGGTGCACATTATGCACAGCAAAATACAGTATATTCTTTTTCTTGTCTGTTTTCCTTCACTCAGCATAATTATTTTACAACTGTTGCATGTATCAACATGCCTTCCTTTTTATTACTGAGCTGTACTCCACTGTATAGATGTATCACAATTTGCTCTTCATGTACCTATTGTTGGACTTACACCTTTTTGATGGCTCCTGAAACAATTATATATATATAAGAAATAATGAACATGAAAGTCTTATCAAACAAAATTAGAAGTCTATGTAGCTGAGACTGTATTAAAATTTATTGCACTATACAGTTGTAACATGTTTCTACAGTCTGTTCTTCACATTGAACAATGCTTAATGATTATGTTCTTTTGTTGGATTAACCATAAATTTTTCTAATTTATAATTCCTCATTTTTTTCCTCAGTGTTCTGTCTCAATTCATCTTTGTAGAGTTTCAACTTGGTCTCATTATCTATTTAATTTCTCTTCCATGTATCATTAGAATGTCCTGTATGGTTTCTTGGAATTCTTATACATACTTCAACAATTTTGACATCTTAAATTATTTAAAGCTTTAAATAAATGAGAGTATAGAAGATATGCTATTTCTATAAAATTTATTTATAAACCATTACTTCTTATTTTCAAAAATTCTAAATAAACAGGCTTGGGTTTTATTCAATTACTAGATGCTGCAGTGTTAGTGGCAGGAGTGGTCATGAGTATTCATGCCTTGCTGAGCTATGGTGAAATAGGAGACCCTGAGAGGAAGCTCCGAGTATTAATAAACATGAATATTGAAGTGATGTCAACATCATCGTGGTGTGAGAAGACTGCTTTGTTCCTCCCCTTAAACCTAAGATAATTCAAACAACTGTAACTCAACAAAGGTTCTGCAGCTGAACACACGAACAGCCTGAAAGAGCCAGGCATCAGGCCATCTGACGGTGGGCCTGTGGGAACAAGGTGGGGAGGTGAGACATAGGGGAAGGACAGGGACAGTGGCCACAGACACAGCTTGGTGTCCACTGTAGCTCCAGCGAGTGCGGTATAGTGGCTGCAGCCTTCACACTATAGCCTGGAGAAGAAGCAAGGTTTCTCCATGAAAAAGCATATCCCCCTTTCCCTCTGCACCACAGCATAGCCCTGTAGAGGCATCTGGATGCCTTAAACAGCAAGGAGTGCCCACAGCCACTGCTGGCAGAGTGGTCAGAGCCGCAAAATCATGAACTGCCTCTCTTGCCCTACACACTGACCTGCTTTGCTGGGTAGAAGTAGTGGAGATACCTCCAACAACACAGCAGAGCCAGCAGCTATTAGTAACAAGGAGGTGGTGCTGGGAGCTTGCAAAATCAGTTCTCCACCACCCACCACATTGCCCCAGCACAGCGGTGGTACTGCCTAACTGAAGCAAACCAGACATAGAGGAGACAACCACGGCCCCAGTTGGTGGCATCTTCTCCATCTGAAGCAATGCCTCTCCACTGCAATCCCAGAGGCACAGGTAAGAGAAAACAAACAAACAAACAAACAAAAAACCCTGTGATAACTCCATTTACTGGAAAACAGTGAAATTACCCTACCTATCAACCTGCTGAATGGTTGAGAGCAAATAGTATCTAAACAAGAAAACTGCCACTATCTTAAATGTGTAGGTTAAGAAACAATCCATTGAACGCCATGAACCACCAAGGTAATGTGGGAACACAGAAAAAAACCCCCGAAGTCTCCAGAAACCAAACTCAAGGTCATGGAAGC